GTTTAATGGATGTCAGTTATCAGTTATCTCCTGTTAATTCCCTTGTCCAAGTTTTCCACTGCCTTAACCGGGTATTGAACTCGCACTCTTTGGGTCTTGTCACTGAATCTAACCAACACCTTTATCCACTGTGCCATGTGTCCTTGAGGGCATAAATAAAGGTTTCAGTTCAACATTCCAACTACCTGAAGAAGGCCAGAGCGTACAACTGCCGAAACGTTGTAATAAATATGGCGATAAAGATGAAGACAATAGTCCGAATAATGTAAATAGTGTACATAATACCTCATCACAAGAATATAGACAGATACTGAAGGGTGGCAAATATGGCAACAAAGATGAGGACAATAGTCTGAATAATGTAAATAGTGTACATAATACCTCATCTCAGAAATATAGACAGATATTAAAATTCCCTGTTTCAAAGTTGTTTTTTTTATCTCTGAACTCAAAACAACCAGTGATCACCGGCTGCAAGAGAAGAATGCAACTTCTTGATCAAATTGACACCATTGCCCAAGACCTCCCCAGAACAAGGGAGATATGCATCATAGGATTACTTTGGTGCCAATGACTACAACCACCCCCACCAGGAGGCTATGCAACCATGTTTGTCAATTTCAAATCTTTTCATTTGTACTTCTTAAAATAACAATCAGCATTCATACTTATGATTATTATTGCAATATTTTGTTAAAGCTGCTAAGCTCAAATACTTAACAATGTGATAAGAAAATTTCTATGGATATTTTATTGTCATAGATCTCACCATAAGCTTATTCAATCATTAACAGAAGAATTAAGATTCATCAGAAATGTTCATAGGTTAAAATTATTTATTTTTATTGGTAAGAAAATTGGCAAACATTTACTGAATGTTTCTCATACAGCAAGATTGTGAGAAAATTTACAACGCTTTCTTTATTTTTCAGAGACAAGGACAGAATGTACAGAAACAGAATACAAATGCAACAATAGCTTTTGTATTAATCTACATTTCAAATGTGATAGAGTGAACGACTGCGGAGATGGTTCTGATGAAGGTCTATTTTGTGGTAAGTCATTTGTTTCTTCTCGATGCTCAGTTTACCATCTGCCCTGTTGGTTGGGGGCCATGAATATGCTGACGCCATTACACAGAGAGGGTTAAAAAATGCACCAAACATAGGCCCCTGTTTGTTATACCTAGTATGAGATAATGTTATATATTTTTATATATCAAGAACAGTATTGGGGAAATTGTATGACAAAGTAGAAAAAGTGTACTCGTGGCGTGTTTTGTCCTTCAGGATTTCATTCACTAAATTTTGTTATGTTCATACAACTACACATCTGCATGAAAGAAGAGGGCATCGAATTTTAGAATTTTTTTTTTTTTTTTTATCTAGCTTTAGATTCTTTTTCTTGCCCTCACTTTTCTAAGGAGATATTCCACACTGATATTAGCTGATCTGCCAGGAATGGTTGTAAGAGCTAGGGCACACATTTACTGTAGATGACTATAGCGAAGAAAACGGCGACTTACCTCATCAAACCAAGCGACAGCGTATTGCGTGTATTCTACGACGGAAAATGTGGTGAAAAAGAAAATTACTTACCAAACAAAAGGGCACGTATTCCGCATAACATGCTGAAAAGGGAATATTTGAATTAAAAAACAAGTCTGTCGCAGGAGTCGCTATAAAAGTATGTTGATATGTAAATTACTGAATATCCTCTCCCAGCTGTCGACGATTGGGAAAAAAAACCCAAAAAAAAACAAAAAAAAACATTCAGCCGATAAAAGCAGTTGGTGTTCTCGAATCGGGGGAAAAAAGTCAACGATTTTGGCTGCCAAGGGAGTTATTTTTCTGACTGGTTGCGTGCATTGTGATTTGTGAAATAGTACTTGCAAATCGAATTTTTGGCATTTTCTTTCTGTCCGCGATATTCGAGTCTGAACTTAGTGATTTATTCTCTGTGATGTGGAAATAATATGCGACAAACATTTCCTTTGCAATCCCAGATCGCTTACAATGACCTCAAAATTCCTGGCTGATTTTCTAATATGGAATACCTACTTAAAAATGTGATAGAAAGAAAAAGACTTCTCTAAAGGAATTCAGCTGATAAAAAAAGAAAAAAAAAACTAAAATTCCCAGCACCCTTCTGTCGAGTGCATCTGTAGTCCTATCAACATGACAAATTTAGTTCGATGAAGTCCTGAAGGACGAAACATGCCACAAGTAAACTTTTTTCCATATATATATATATATATATATATATATATATATTTATATATATATATATATTTAAATAACAAAATCTTGGTAATTCGTATGGATAATCTCATGTCTGTCACACTATTCCTCACCACCCACTATGTCAATTTATATAAGCTTAATACTGCCCGTGAAAAGTGTAAATTTTGAATTCATTTTTCATTTCACCTTTGAAAGCGAAGTCTGAAGATCCAGAGAAAAATAAAATTCTCTGGTGAAATAAATTATAACTAATGGAACCTTAAAGTGGTCTGTTTTTCTTATATATATATATATTTGTATGTATGTATTGCTAAATAATTAATGTACTGTAGATAACCTTACCATTCTTGGCAGATTTTCTAATATTACAGTATGGAATACCTACTTAGAAAAGTGATCGAAAGAAAAAGACTCTAAAGGATTTTTGCTGATAACAAAAGAAAAAAAATGTAAAATTCCCAGCGCCACTCTTTCATGCTTAGGTATAGTCATACCAACATAACAAATTTAGTCAAATAAACTCCTGAAGAAGGAAACATGTCATGTCAAGTAAACGTTTTCCACTTGGTCAAACAATTTCCCCTATACATAATAAGGTATAATAAACTGTCTAGCTTTTGGAATCCTGTGCAAGGCAAACCCATATCTATAAGTGTAGAGGAGCAATGGTTAATCTTTAACTTTATGTAGGTGATTTTGTTTGCAAAGTAACTCAGATGAATGATAGCATGTTTGAATTTTGCAGTTGTGTTGTCATATCCTGCTATGGCAACAGAAAATGACCATGACTGGAATTAAGTGCTGTAGAGAAACCCTGAAAAATAATGCAGTGGAAAGGAAAGTACTGAATAATGCAGTGTATTAAAGGTTAAAGGCAAAATAAATAATAGAATTGTCCAACAAATAGAATGGACAACATTTGTAAGAAGCAATAACAAGAAGAAAAAAAGAACAGAGCAAAAAAATATAAAGCAAGCAAACAATATATGTAAGGCAAATTAACAGTAATAAGGCAAAGCAACAGTAATAAGGCAAAAAAGTTTGCAAACTAAGAATTGGGGTTGACACAAAATCAAGTTCGGACAAGTGAATGTAATGTTTTGATTTCAAGACAAGACAGGCTGTGACAGAATCAGAAGAAACTAAGAACCGGCCTATTTTATTGGATAGGAAAAATCCCAGCATGCATTTGTGTGCTTTTGCCTATAAGTTGAGTGGGGGAGTGTTTTGCAGTTAATCCTCATTGGGATTCGAACCAACAATAAAGTAACCAAAAAATTCTTTGTTTTTTTTTTTTCATTATGTGGGAAGAAGTGATTACTGATTTTCGAATGAGTGTATCACATATGGGGAAAGCTTTAAGGGTGGGGGAATTGCTCTTGACCAATGCTGGTGCATTGCACACACATACGCACAAACATCAGACATAGCACAAGCAGCATCGAGGAATCATGACAGTGTCAAAGCAGCTCATTCGGTGTTGTTTGTTATCTGACTTTAAGGTGGGTTTGTCCACAAAAGCTGGGTATCATCCACACTGTATTCAGTTGTGAAAGCAGAATATCATTTTTATTACCTCAAAGCTCCCAAGAAAATTAAGTTTTGGCATTAACCTTTATCTAGCTGCAAGTGAAAATTGTTGCCAGAGAATTCTCTTCCTTTATTGCTCTAGGCGCATTCTGTTGCCTTAAGAGGATTGCTATAAATAAACGTTTGTCAGCTGTTATTTCTGGTATTTTAAACAGGAAATAACATACTACAACTTTGGAATGAGGCTGAACTTCTGTTTTCCAACACTATATTGAATTCTTCTACACTCTACTTAAAATGTAACATTTATTAAATCCATGTTAATTTTGTCATAATTTTTTTGTAAACAAAAATGGCCGTATCAACATACATTGAAGCCTTTATCCAGGAGTTTTTCTTTGACTTGAACTCCGAGGATGATTTTGAAGGCTTTACTCAAGCGGATATTGATGGTGAAGTGGTTGGGAGATGATAACCAGTCTTGTGACTTGGGGGTTAACAGTGATGTTCAGTATGTCCTGAGCGGCTACTATCATCCATTGCTGACTAATTTTATGGAAGCTACTGGCGACCATCGATATACCTGATTGCTTTTCTGAAGGTAGATTATTTCATCTATTTATAAACAACAAGATAATAACTTTATTTGTCAACAAGACAAATAAATATGACAGGTGAAAGAAAGAGTTGGTGTCTTCACATATGTAAAAACAAGAAGCACATCACATTTTTTACAAAATGAAAGCCTTTTTAGCCATTTTGGTTATTATTCCACCCACAGAATTCCACAAAGAGCAATAAAAGTTAAAATATGTTAAATTGTTAATGCATTTTTTATTTTGTGTTTGAATTTTTTGTTTTCAGTGTCAAAACATGCATGCAAAACGTAATGCATTACATCAAAATATTACTCATCCATTCTTTTATTAGTGCACAAAAAATAAAATCTATACACACAATATAAAGAAAGTTATCACAATTTTAAGACAGTAGGTGTTTCTTTTTTGCATGCTCAAAAAAATACAGCAGAGGGAATAATTCTAGAAAGAATTTTGTGGTGTCAAGGTTAAATGACTCATGAAGTGTTGATATGTCATTAAACAAACAAATGAAATCAAACCTGATCATTATGATCAGGGGCCGGGTTAAAATGTGTAATTATATACATGACATGCATGCAAAGTGAAATGCAGACAACACAATGGAGAGAATATCATTTCTCCTTTCATGCTCTCTCTTCTTTATTTGCCATTTTTATTCGTTTGCAAGAATATTCATAAATAATTAAGCTTTTTTTTCTTTTCTTTTCCTGAATGTAGCGGATCATACATGCTTACCCGGATTTTTCCAATGTGATAACAAACTTTGTATTGTTCAGCAAATCGTTTGTGATGGCGACAACGATTGCTATGACAACAGTGATGAGAGAGACTGCCAACCTGTGAATTGTACAGAGTCGCAATGGCGATGTCAATCCCAGATTCAGTGTATCAAAAAAGAACATCGGTGTGACAGATTCCCTGATTGTAATGACAAATCAGATGAAGTGGGCTGTCGTAAGTGATCCTCATATTTTATTAAAGTGATTCTCAGAATTACAGCATCAATCCTACCCTTAAAATACCAGATTTCCTCAATTCCTTATTATTTAGAATTCTCTGCTCATAAATTTTTGCACCATTTTTTACATGAATTGTTGTTAATATTCCATGAATGTTTTGGACTATCCTCATCTTCATTGTTGTTTTTGTCACAGGCTTCCAGATGAATTTTTGTTAATATCCAATGAAAGTTTTGGATTATCTTCAGTGTCATTGTTGTTTTTGTCAGAGACTTTCAGATGAATTGTTGTTAATATTCAGTGAATCTTCATTGTTCTTGTAAATATAATTTTTTCCCATGTATAATTTAACTACATGAGTCAAGAGGCACACAATGGCATAGAAATGGTGAGAAGTTCATATTATGTGGACATGTAAGATAGATAATAAATGACTCTAACCTTGAAGAGATTAAGACTGTAGTGATCAGGGTAGCATCCTCTCAGGACTTAGTGACATTTAACAATGTAATAGTTTTTTGTGGGAAAAGCTGTTTAAATGAAATTTCCTCCTTTCTGGTAGATAAGTCATCTTGAAATATTTGACATGGTAGACTGTAGCTGTGAAAGTCTGAACTATTAAAACTAAAGAATGTGTCTGATCTTAATATCTGCCATGAAGATAGAAATAGAATAGAGTGAGAGGCTTGAAATAGTTCATCTGTCAGAAAGAAGTTGTAGGGTGTAAAATTAATAAATCACCGACAGGGTCATGAAAACACTTTTGAACACTATCACAGCTGGAATATGTGGATTGTGCAGCTCCAGCCCAGATATGGCAGCAATGCTTCATTTTTAGTCTAAACTGACTCTTGTAAAGATGAAGCATGGCAGAAGGACTATCAAGTCTGAAAAGTGAGGATTGTGCAGCTCCAGCCCATATATGACAGCAGTACTCCATTTTGGGACTAATCTAACTCTTGTAAAGAAGAAGTATAAGAGGAGGACTCTATTAAGGCAGGAAAGTGAGGATTGTGCAGCTCCAGCTATTTGGGCAATCCTATTCTCTAGGTTCTGATTGGCTGTTGACTTTGGTGTGGATATTGTAATTAAAAAATATTCATTATTCTACCATGAATGCATGTGTATGATTGGGATAATGTATAAGTTACTCTTTTGGAGTAAGTTCATGTATACTTATCATCTCTCAATTGCGTCTCTGTCTTTGGGCACAGTGCGCTCAGGGGCTTCTCTGTCAAAGGACAGAGGGGTAACTGAGAAAATTATACTGAAGAGATGCCCAGCCCTGGGGAACAGCTGCCTGAGGCTGCACCCTCCCATTGCACCAGATTGGTACTCCCACCGAGGCCAGCACAACCAACGGTTGTGGGGGCTGTGGGCAATTTTTGTTCCTTGCCCGGGTGCACGCGCTTAGGTCCCCATTTTAAAAAGACCTTGTGTCACATCTCATCTTGGTGGGGAACAAGTAAACACCATATATGGTTGGGGTCTGTATTAAGTTACAGCCTGCTTCCTTCATTTTCTTCTTCTTCTTGTCTGCCAACTAAACGCTAGTCAGGAAATTTCTTGTGAGGGTGAGTATCATGTTTTGATTCAACACATCTTATCCCCATTTGTTGTTTTGTCACTCATGCTTGTTTTTCTTAAAGGCAACATTGTCATTACAAGCATTCCCATTGAAGCAAATATTTTATATTTGTATAGTCGTACGATTTTTTATCTGTTTATTTCTTTCTGTTTTGTTTTTAACAGCCTCTTCATCTACCAATACTTGTCGTTCACGTGAATTCAAATGTTTGGAAGGGGACTGTATATTTGCTGCTTGGCAGTGTGATGGCAAACAAGATTGTGAAGACGGTTCAGACGAGGGTTCCACTTGCCGTAAGTCTAACATGTTTCAGATATTATTTTAATTACTTGAAAGTTTCATTGGTCTTCTGGTTTTGCGAAAAATGATTAACATGAGAACTCTTATGAAGCGATGGAATCATACTTTTAAATAAATAATTATATTTATGCTCTACTTTTCTATGGAGCACTATTTTTTAAAAATAATAACAAAAATACTAAAGCTAAATACTAAATAGCTATTTTGTTTCAACACTTCTGGTGCCTATCAAGTGATAGTGTTGAATGACATTACGTATATATATATATATATATATATATATATATATATATATATATATATATATTTATTTATTTAAAAATTATAACATAAATATGTTATAAAATCACTACAAAATCACTATAGCCAAGTATAGGATTGGTGTAGACAGAATACAATTCCAATAACCAAAACACTATTCTTGAAAGAGTGCTTAATACAGAGTAGAGCAAATATTATTTATTCAAAAATTATAACATAATCATGTTATAACATCACTACAAAAATATCCATTTTGTTTCAACACTTCTGAAACAAAATGGTTATTTTTAGTGATGTTGTAACATGTTTGTTATAATTTTGAATATATATATATATATATATATATATATATATATATATATATATATATATATGAAGAAAATATGCTGAAAAAACAAACAAAAATCCTAATATGCGATTATGCTGTTTTAATGTTTAATGTCAACGTCAGACGTTTCGGTCTAATAGACTGTTGTGGTACGATACACCTAATTTACATAAGTGGAGTACCGACCATATAAATATGGGTTGGTACCGGAAGACGGGGGAGATAGTAGGTTTGTAAGAAGAGATCGAAACGGGAGACTCTGCCCGACTGCGATTTAGTCAACCCATTCTGCAGGAACAGTCTTCCCAAGAATATACCAAAACTAACTGTAAATATTGTGTACCTTTTCCTTGTTTCAATACATTTTGTTTATGTACATTTTGTGTTGTATTATTATTATTCCATGCTTATCCAAGTTTCAACAATGGCGACGAGGTATAAAGAACTTTACGTTACGGAAAAAAAAAAAAAAAGAATTAATAATTGATAGCCTTCAACAATTGGGACAAGTGGAAGAACCAAGGCTGAAGAAAAAAAAAAAAAATCATTAATTAAAAGTCGAACATCTAATGGAACGGAAAAGTATTCTGAAGTTTGGACAGTTAAAACTAGTTAAAGGACGACTAAGCTTAAAGGAACGTTCACTCAGAAAAATCTGGAAGGTGGCGTAAACAAATAAATAAAAAAAAATGAAAAAAAAAAAAAAAAAAAAAAAAAGCTGGCCGACTAAAAAAAACATGCATGGAATTAAAAGGAGCACAAATACAATGTGTCGACTTTGAAAGGTAAGCGAACTTGTAAAAAAAAAAAATTTGTTTATTTTTTTTTTGGTTGCTCAACAATATTTTATAAAGCAAGACATAAAATTAAAAAAGGCGTAAGTTGTTTCGATTTTTTTTTGTCTGCTTTTAGTATATTCGTGGATACACAATTTAAAAGTATATTCTTTGTTGCATGAACACTATCAGCTAAAGATGGAGGAATTATCTAAAGTCATAGCTGAATTGTTTAAAGCCCAGCAGTTGAGTCAAGCTGAGTTAGTCAAATCCCAGCAGTTGAGTCTGCAACAACAAAGTAAACAGTTTGCCTTATTAAGAGAACAGCAATTAGCACAGCAGAATTATCAAGAAAGGCAAGAGGAGTTGAGTCAGCAACGTCAAAGGGAACAGGAAGAAATGTATGTCAAGGTTTTGGAAATTCAAATGTTAACAGTGGAGAAATTAAACAACAATCAGGCAAATGAAAGTAACTCTTCATATTCTAATAACATCATATTTAATTCGTTGGAAACTTTCAACTATGTGCCAGACGAAGGAAAAACGTTTGAAGCGTACTTTAAACGATATGAAGATATTTTCCACACAGACTGTGAAAACTGGTCGAATTCAAGAAAAGTCAGTCTATTACTAAGAAAGCTAGGTACAGCGGAACATAGCAAATTTGTAGATTTTATTCTACCGAGAAGAACAAATGAATTGGAATTCTCGGAAACAGTGAAATTGCTAAAGGAGTTGTTTGGAGCAAATATGTCGCTTTGGCATAAGCGATGGTTATGCATGAATGTAACTAAATCCGACGATCAGGATTACTTAACTTATGCATCTATAGTGAATAGACATTGTGACAATTTCAGATTGGCAGAGATTACGGTTGAAGAATTCAAGTGTTTAATTTTTGCTCAAGGACTGGTATCCAGTAAGAGTGCCGAAATAAGACGTGGAGTTTTGTCTAAACTCGAATCTGAACAAAACCTTACCCTGCAAAAGTTAGCAGAGGAGTGTCAGTGGGCCGTAAGTTTAAAAAAGAGTCTCAAAAAATTGAAGAAGCTGGTATTGCTTATATTAAAAAAGTGAAGAAACAGTCAAATTACCCATCAGAAAAAAAATTGGATTAAAAATTCGGCGTATTTTAAAAATAGACAAGAAAAATTAAATGAAAAAAAAATGAGGAGGGAAAAAAATGGTTCCGCCATTTAATTGTAGACAGTGCAACGAAAGACACTGGGAGTTAAATTGCCCATATAGAAATAAAAAATGTTTCGTGTGCCACAAGAATGGTCACAAAGGGTCGTGTTGTAAAACGAAAAAAAGTCAATAGCCGAATTAGACAAACAAATTCAAATATCAAATCAGATAGAGATTTGAGGAAGTATGTGACGACTGAAATATTTAAAAAGAATATCAAATTTCAACTCGATTCGGGTTCAGATTTAACAATAATGAACTATAAAACATGGAAAATTTTAAAAAGGCCTACAATAATGAAGTCAACGAAACGCGCTCGAACAGTGACTGGAAAGGAAATTAAATTCGAAGGCAAGGTTGTACTTCCCATGAAATTGAACGGGATAGTTAAAAAAATAAAAGTTTTCATTCTGAAAAATGGAGAAAACTTGATGGGTACAGATTTTATTGAAACATTCGAATTGTGGGATAAACCGTTAAACTCTTTCTGCAGAAAAGTAAAGTAATACATAAACAAGACAGGACATTAATGAGGAATTAAAAAAAAAGTTTTCGGAAACTTTCACACCTGGTCTTGGAAGATGTAACAAGTTTGAAGCCAAATTCGAATTAAAGGAAAATACTATGCCAATTTTTAAAAAAAAGAAACGTAATGTGCCTTTCGCAAGTGTAGAAAATTAACGAAGAACTTGATAGGTTGGATAAATTGGGAATTATTTCGAAAGTAGAATCTAATTCATGGGCTGCGCCGATTGTGTGCATAAAAAGAAATCAAACCAAGTCAGAGTCTGCGTTGATTTTTCGACAGGGTTGAACTCGGTAATTAAGGACTACCATTACCCGTTACCGAGTCCGGAGGAGATTTTAACAAGCTAAATGGTGGAGTTATATTTTCAAAAATTGACTTATCAGATGCCTATCTCCAAATTCCAAAGAGGAATGTTCAGAAGTTACTAGGGATAAACACGCATAGAGGGTTATTCAAGTACAACAGGCTTCCTTTTTGGTATTAAAGTGGCACCTGCCATTTTTCAACAAGCTATGGACGTCATGCTGAATGATTTAGACTTTTGCGTGCGCTTACTTAGACAACATCATAGTAAGGAGCGAATCGGTCGACGAACATCGAGCATCTCAATCAAGTATTTAAAAAATTCAGGACTTTGGATTTAAAGTCAAAGAGTCAAAGTGCGAATTTGGTTTGGAGGAAATTAAGTATTTAGGGCACATAATCAACAAAAATGGCAGATGTCCGGATCCGGAAAGGTCCATTGCGATTAGAGACATGTCGACACCCACTAATGTGGCGATGCTACAAAGTTTTCTAGGGCTTGCAAATTATTATCAAGCGTTCATTAAAGGAATGTACAATTTAAGAGCTCCATTGAATGAACTGCTAAAAAAAAAGACAAGGCATGGGAATGGACGGTAGAATGTCAAAAGCCTTTGATGAAATAAAGAAAATGCTTACGTCCGACCTCTTTTAACCCATTACAATCCAAAACTGGATATTGTAGTGGCAAGTGACGCTAGTTCATACGGGATAGGGCGTGTATTCAACACATAATGCCAGATGGTTCTAGAAAACCAATTGCACACGCTTCGAGAACTTTGCTCCCAGGAGAAAGAAGTTACTCTCAGATAGAAAAAGAGGCACTGAGTATCATTTTTGCCATACAAAAATTTCACAGGTACATCCACGGCAGACATTTTATCCTTGAAACGGATCATAAACCACTGATCACTATTTTTGGTTCAAAGAAAGGGTTACCCGTTTATACAGCAAATCGTCTGTTAAGATGGGGATGGGGAACCATTCTTCTCGATTATGATTTTCACATAAAGCACCTATCATCCAAAAAGATAATTTATGCGGATAGTCTATCAAGACTAGTACCGAGTCAAGAAGAAAGATTCGAAGAATCAATTATTGCAAATATCAGAGCAGATTATGAGGTGAAAAGCATGGTAAACAACATTGTAAGAGAGCTACCGGTTACGCTAAATGAAATTAAAAAAGAAGCTGAAAGCGATGATTTTATTTTAGAAATTAAAAGCAAAATGGTAGCAAATGACCAAAAAGTGCAGGAGATTTTTTCAATAGGTGATGGAGTTTTATTATATGGTGAGAGAGTAGTAATACCAAAGAAGCTGCAGAAAAGAATACTTCGGGACTTTCATATGGGTCACCTGGGGATAATAGAACAAAAAGCTTAATGCGAAGCTTTGTGTATTGAAAGGAATGGATGTGGATATCGAAAACATGGTTCATCGATGTAAGGGGTGTGCGTTAGCAGCTAAGGCACCACCTATAGTACACAAACCATGGCCCAAGACGGATCATCCGTGGACAAGATTACACATTGATTTCCTTTGGTCCAGTAGAAGATTTTACTACTTAATAGTGGTAGATAGTTTTACAAAATGGCCGGAAGTACTACGCTGTAAAAAGCCTACGTCCAATACCACAACAACTTTTTGCATGAACTATTTGCACGGTTCGGTGTGCCAGAGTGTATTGTGGTGACAATGGTACACAATTCACTTCTGAAGAATTTAAGGAATTTTGTGAGTTATATCAAATTAACCACATAACGACGCCTCCGTATCATCTGAGGTCTAATGGACTCGCAGAAAGATTTGTCGATACATTAAAGCGAGCTCTGAAGAAAGCCTCAGGAGTTCCAACGGAAAAGGCGCTTCAGCAATTCTTACAAGTATACAGAATCACGCCAAACCAGAGAACACACTCAAACATGGCACCAGCTGAACTAATGTTCACTAGGAAAGTTAAGTCAGTGTTTGACAAGCTTTTGCCAGGAAAAAATAGAGTAAAAAATACCATGTATACAGCGAGAAAAAGATACACTCCCGGAGAGAAGGTGTTTTTCAAGTGCTATAAAAACAACGTTGAGTTCTGGGAATGAGGCATAGTGGACAAGAGAATCGGTGACCTGATTTACATAATTAAAGGGCCGAAGAATACTCATAAAAGGCACCAAAACCAACTTAAAAAAGATTATGGTATAGAGCAAGAAGAGTGTATACCGCATGAGGACGAAGATCCCATTGATATAATGTATGATATGTTTCAGGTAGAACCTCCACAGAATACACCTGAACCAAGAAGATCCGGTAGGAAACGAAGTTAGCGGACCCATTGGACGTGAATCCAAAACGGAAAAAATATTAAAATTAGGCAAATGGATCTACAAAGAAATAGCCATAATCATCAACCCATATAGGAAGCCAATTTGAAATCCAAAAGGGATTCCAAGGCTTGGGAGGAGGGTGTTGTGGTACGATACACCTAATTTACATAAGTGGAGTACCGACCATATAAATATGGGTTGGTACCGGAAGACGGGGGAGATAGTAGGTTTGTAAGAAGAGATCGAATCGGGAGACTCTGCCCGACTGCGATTTAGTCAACCCATTCTGCAGGAACAGTCTTCCCAAGAATATACCAAAACTAACTGTAAATATTGTGTACCTTTTCTTTGTTTCAATACATTTTGTTTACGTACATTTTGTGTTGTATTATTATTATTCCATGCTTATCCAAGTTTCAACATAGACCATCTTCAGGACATATTCATAAAACATAATTAACATAGACCATATACAATTCAACATGAAAAAGACGTTGGACATAAAAGCAATACCAATCCAAACAGATAACTGAAATCTTTTATAAGATCTGCGTTCCGTTTAAATATGATCACGTCATCGTCACGTGGGCGATGTTGTGAAAACATATTCCTAAAATTTGAGTATTTTGAATGAAAAACGTAAAGAATTTTATTTTGATCTAAAACTTATATGTACGTTTGTCGCTTATTAATTTTGCTAGAAAAGGGGAAATATTAAAGAAGCCAGGTCTAGTGTTCACCATGCGTGAGATAGATATTATGGCTGCTTCATAAATCCGCCTAAGATTTTTATTATGAAAATATTTTAAAATCTTAACAGAATCAAAATCGAAATTATGATCAGCTTTAGTTGTGTTGTAATACTTTGGTCTAACGGGTGGTATGACATCATCAAACCGCATCTTGAACTTACAATCTGCATCTGGTATTCCAGGACCGTTGTCATCGCATAGCAATTTTCTATGTCTGTATAACCACTCTGAGGATGGCTCATGTGAGCCGAAATCTTAGGACCAACTTAATAAAAAAAATTATCCAAATGTTAGACAATTTTTGTCTTTATTTTAACCAGAAATTAAAGCAAACATTCGAACGGCTCATGATCAGACATAATAGACATTCATTGTCTGTTATATAGAATAATATATGTTTAAATAATGATCTGCTGCCACAGTACACGTTATATATATATATATATATATATATATATATATATATATATTTCTAATATATCTTTTATTTTAGCTCCTCCTGTTTGTCCTAATGACTTTTTCCGTTGCAATAATGGACGATGCATCTACAAGTCATCGCGTTGTGATGGATATAATGATTGTGGAGATAATTCAGATGAAGACAAATCATTAAATTGCTGTAAGTAGTATTAATCTTCATGTCTTCTTACCTATTTAACATACGTTTTTCTTTTTTTGTCTTTGTTTTTTTTTCTCAGTTAAAATCTCAAAGTTTGTAAATAGCTAAATCCAGTAATGGCATCTGAGATTTCCAGGAATCAGTTCCATAAGTGCCGGTAATCTTCAGGAACCTATTCTGCATATTTTCTTTTCAATCTGACAATGGAAATAAATCACTCATCATATAAAAAAAAAAAAAAAAAATGAAACCATTTTGATAACTTCATAGAAAACATTTATTTATTAAGACATTTCCAGATCAAAATTCTGTTCTCATCATATTTCTGTTCGGAAGCATATGGATTTTTGACTCTAGTGTCATCAGCTGTGTTATGTTCTCTTAGCCATATTCGAACTGAATCACTGTAGTCCCAAAGACCTCTCTCTCTCTCTCTCTCTCTCTCGCCTATTTTTCTACACAGCTACCATTATTTAGTTTTTACTTTTTCATTATTTTCTTCCTCGTTGTTTATTGTTGTGGTAAAGAGCATGTGCCTGTTAGAGTTTCACTAGGTGCATACACACGAGCGTAATGTAACTAACATTTTACCAAGACCATTGGCTATTAATATATAAGATTATTTTCGGATAATCCAGCAACCGGTTCACTAAAGTTTTTATAATTTTAAGAATTGGTTCACCTGAATCAGTGAAACCTGATAGGATGGCACCACTGGTTATAGATATCATTTGAAACATGAAATAGACCTTGACATAAACATCTGATAACAAGAAAATACTTTTGATATACCCCCATATAATTCCAGACGATTTCTTTTGTCAGAATAAATTATGTCCATCACAGAAAAGCCTCTTTCAGCCTCCACAGAACTTACAACAATGGTATTAATTATATTTTTAGCTGTTATATATCAGCTATTAATATATAAGATTATTTCCGGATAATGCAACAACCAGTTCACTAAGCTTTTATAATTTTAAGAATGGCTTCATGCAGACTGGTAGAATGTCACCCACTGATTAAATCTCATTTTAATGACATTACAGCACCATTAATATTTTAATAGTATTAAAATATTAATTTTAATAATTGGTCCATTCAAATCAATAGGATGCCACCACTGACTAAATCTCATTTCAAAGACATTTTAATTTCATCGTTTTATTTTCTGTTCCAGCACCACCGCCCTTTTCCTGTCCCGCTAATCAGTGGGAATGTCCTGGAGGAAGGCGCATTTGTATTCCTGATGCTAAAGTCTGTAACGGTAACCCGGATTGTCCTGATGGACAAGATGAGAGTCCCTTGTGCAGTAAGTTTTACGTTCTTGCTATCATTCTTTTGAATATCTTTCTCGGAATTGGAATTCTCTGTTAG